CTTTAGCTTTTACCTTGATTTTTGTATGTGGGTCGTTATCACTGAAAGCCACAAAGTATGCAACTGTGTCAAATGTTATTTTGTGATACTGTTTTAAGTAATTGTTAACGTTGATTGACTTCCAGCTTTAGCCAGTGCTGGGTCACATACAGTTTCAGGATTAAATGTAATCAAGGATTTCCTGGACTGAGTCGTCAGTTGAGACTGTGAGGTATTTCCATAACAGTCACGCACAGTTACGTGGGTGTGGGTGCAGCAGAGGTTTAGCTCATCCCTGTTAGGTCACATCTCACATTTCTTGTTACCCCTCTGTAGCACTTGCATCTCACATAGTGCTGCTACAGCACAGCTTGTGTACTTTTTATTCTTACTTCAGAAGATATAAGTAGTAGTTGAACATCATGACCAAGGCTGTATTTACTGAGAGCACAAAAACACCAGTGAAACAAAAAAACCCCAGGGTTATTTATCTCACAATTTCCTGGTTCTGCTGTAAACCCACTATGCAGTACCCATGAGCACATCTGCTGTTGTACCAAGAGCCTGAGAAAATAGCAAACGTGCTGTGTAGTAAAGCTGTTGATGACCTTTCAGGACAACTAATTGAATTATGAACTGCCAAACACACAAAAGTCCCAGGAGAGGCTGTGCCAGGAGGGTTCTGCAGGTGGATCTTGCCTCTTTCATACCCTTAAGCTCTGAAATGGATATTGCTTTGCTCTCCAGCTGCAAAGCACGTAATTGCCTGAGGTCAAAAGCAAAGAGAAAACAAATGCACAAAATGCTGCATCTGTGTAGATTACATCAATCGAAATGGATCTGAGTTTGCACTACCGAAACCAGGGATAATTGAAAATTTCTTTCTTTAGGAGCAGAATTAGACTTCAAATGAAAAATAAACCCCATTCTCTGGAGTATTTGCATGCTGAGAGTATTACATTTTTTAATGAATTACAAAAGTGACTGAAAGGAGGTGGTTATGGGTTTTTTTATTAATCAGTCCTTTGGAGACTCATTCCACAGAGGAAGTCTCTAGGCTGCCTGCTGTCCAAAGTATTGTACTTGAAGCAAGCAACAGACATGCCAGAGAGGAACGGCATCGTCTGCCTTGGGTGGTTCGCTGCTGCATTTGCATCAACACCTGCTCTGAATTCTACTTTCTGGGAGCAGGTAGTTACATTTTGGAGAGCAAATGAGAAACTTCTCTGGATTTCATTACTACTACCATGAAAATCACTGGTCAGCTGTTTTCCTCTGTGTGTGCTGGTGGAAGGCTGCTATAGTACACTGAGTGTTCGGGGGTTGTCATGCTTCTTATTTGTTTGTTCTAGGACTTTGGGGACAAGTTAGGCTGACCCATCTGTGTACACATCCCATCATTATTGCACTGAATAATGGTTAATGACATTTCCAAACAGTAGCAGCTGTGTTTTGTGTCTCAAAGTGTATTTACATGGCACAGGCAGCCAGGGGGATGTTGCTAGAGTTGCTGCTGTAAACCTCCAAGTGCTCTTAGGAATTTACCCTGTTTTACCCTGGAAAAGGGCCAAATGTCTCTCCACATAGTGTCAAAGACAGGCTTAGTCCCCCCTCATGTATGTATGCTAGAAACACCTTGAGTTCAGAATGGCACTTTGTGCGTGCGTATTACACAGCCTGAAAGCCACTTAACAGCCACAGTAAAGTGAGGAATGGAAGAAGTCATTTGCAACATGGGGAGAGCAGATGGAAGATTCTATGCCCTTTTACAGGGGCGTGAAGTTCTTCAAACCTGGACCCAAATGTTTTTGCTCATTATATGAGTAAAGTGTAAATTCAAAGAACTGAGCACTGCACTGTGTTTTTCACCAAGTTTCACTGGGAATTTCATGTGGTTATCATTGCCCTGTTCATTTTAATTTGTCTGAGTATATGGGCTTTCAAGCACCTTAAGACATAGTTATCCCTGCTCCCAATCTTGATCGAAAAATGGTAAGAGGAGAAATGGAACCAGTTAAATAGCAGTCGGATCAGAAAAATTGGATAATTCTCTTTTCAAATCACCTTAACATCAGTAAACAGTGTCACTTCAGACCATCTGCCATATGCCCTTTTTAAAAAGTGTTAAAATGAGAGACAGGTGGCCTATAATTACCTTAGCTTTGAGTGTCTGCTTTTTCAGAATATCATATGTGCTTTACCAAGCTGAGTAGGATCATCTTCTAACAATGAACTCTACAGCAGTAGATTGGGAGAGTTGTCTCTGAGTCCACGAGACACAAAAGACGGGGAGAGAGAGGTTATACATGACTTTTGCAAAGACACTGATGCCAAATTGGATAATTTCCAAGTAATTTCAAAGCTTGCATTGAGTTTGCAAAGGTCACTTGAAAGCTTTCAGATACCTCTAACACACAGCAATTCAGCAGTTTTCGTGGAAGATTAGCCATGCATTGATGCCTGGAGAGATTCCACACGTGGGCTCTAACAGCCTGGTTGTGCCTCTCCATAGTCTATTACTTCCATGGCTGCTCTCTGTGCTTGTTGTTTCTAGCAGCATCTCTGACTGTTTCCCGACTCTGATCCTTAATTATGCCCTTTTTTGCCTCTGTATAGAATCATTTAGGCTGGAAAAGACCTTTAAGATCATTGAGTCCAACCATAAGCCTTACACTGCCAAGTCCGCCACTAAACAGTGTCCCTAAGTGCCACATCTACATGTCTTTTAAATACCTACATTTATGTACAGTCTATATATATTATATAGTCTATGTGTATGCTTATGTGTAGCCTTTATTTATCTAGGTCTTAGTTTAAAAATACTTTCCCCTTGCAGGGCTTGTTCCCTGCAGTAGCAATACTAGCAGACTGTACTGTGACTGTTGTAGATTCACCTAAACCAAGTGTCTCATAATTGAATAGCTGAAGCTCCTGCATCATGTTGCTGCCTTCCAGAGCATGGATTTTGTGTCTCATTCCTTTGTCGCTCTCTTTCATAGCAATGACTCTGTAGTTTGAGTTTTCATTGTTCTCCTCAGAGCTGATGGCCCATGTCTGGACTGCACGCATTTTCTCCACAAAAGCATCCATCAGATATTACAGGTGATATTTGTTGGCACCAGGCTTATGAAAATCTTTGTGTCTTTATCATACCAATTCTCATAGTATGTTTAACTCCAAGATCTGAAAATAAAGCCCCACGGTTGCTATTTCCAAAGTCATTGGTGCTATAGCGTAGAGTTGTATATTAACGTATGGTGGATTATCCATTCTCCACAGGCAGTGAACCAGAAATGCAGTCATTCATACTCGGTGTTCTTTCCATCTTCTCTCAGCTTTTTCAGTGACTGTGCCTTTCTTCAGAAAGTAATTGGAGAAATGAAATCTATGCTTTCAGGAGGCAATAATCCCCACCATGGAATGTGATGTGTGATACTAATGAAGGGCTGCAATCGCTCAGAGAACTAGAGTGAGCAAGGAGGCGGCAATACTTGCCAGTAAGTACTAAGAAAGATACATGAGGAAGAGTTGAAAGAAGTCTCACCTGATCACGAATAACATCTCCAGGTAAGCACAACCTATTTAAACACCCTGATAAAAAATCAGTTTTTGTTTAGTAGTTGTTCAAATACTTAGTCTTCTCAAAAATGAAAGATGCTATCTGCTAGTTTTTTTTCTAAAAGCTCTAATGCCATTTTATTCCTCTTTCTTCACATGATTCTCACTTTTATGAAGGAGAGTGGATTACCAGAGAGCAGTTATACTTTTCTGTTTTGTAGCAAGCAGACTCAAAAAGTAGCTTCTCTCTGCAAGAACATCTTCTAGGTCTGAGTCTGCAATCGCTGGCTCAGATCTAAGGGAAAAATAAACCAGCAGCCAATTCTACAAAGATTTCACTGATTAACCATGCGTTCTGGAATCAGAATTTAGAGTGACCTGTTAAGGACAGGGGTAAGAAGCAATATGTTATAAGTAGACTGTGAAAAAAGAAAAAGCCTCCATCTGTATCTTTTGGTCTCTGAAACTGAATGTATCCTGAGCACCATGTTCCCATACATATGGCTCTAATTCACCTCACTCTCTTGCATAGTGTTTTCAGGGTAATACAGAACTAGAAATAGCATTTTGTGAAACCAAATGCAGCTCTGTATATTTAAGGACAAATGCAGATGTGGCAAAAGCATTAGTCCAGTAAACAAATCAATAATAGAATGTGGAAAACCACCTCCGAGTCACTCATGATACTTTCCTGTCCAACTAATACAAGAAAAATGCCAGGAGGAGGAGGGGCCACAATCTTTTCTTTGGACAAAAAGAAGGCAGAGCAAATAGTGCAATGTGGAACATACTTCTCCTTTAGCAACAAAAGCAACAGTAAGGACATTTATCACATCTCTTCCATATTGGCTAAAGGCGCAGATCCCTTACCCCTGCTTGCTAGCGATTACCCTGGTCTTTGAGTAGTTGTGTGTGACGGTTATATTGTATATTCTGGGGCAAAAACCAGGAACAGAAGATGGAATCCACCCTGCAACCAAATCTGTGTTTGCCATTAGTAGCCTTGTAGGGCTGTAGGGCTGGGTGAGGCTGCTGTGGTGCTTAAAACATGGGAATAGTGGGTACAAGTCCTGACAAGTTCTTGGGGTTTTGTTTGTTTGTTTGTTTTTGAAACACCTAGCTGTTCACAGTTTCAGGCTCCTGCTTTGGTTGGGCAGAATAGGAATTGCAGCTCCACGGGGAGTTCTCTGAGAAACCTGTAGACAGATGAAAAAGCAGGACACTTAAAAGGGTTACCAGAGCTCTAGCTTACCCATAAGGAAAGATGGGATAAAATGTCATAAAGAGGTGGACTTGCTGCTCTGTATTCATCTGTTCCATTTGGAGGCAACAGCTCATCTGGGAATGTGCACATCATAATACCATTATTGATTTTTCTGTCTCTTGTAGGAGGGACATAATCATTAAAAAGTAGTTCTGATGGTTATTGTCTCCAAAAGCCCCCATAGATCTTCTTTTGTGCCATGAAGATTTTACTTGAATTTCAAGTGTTGCGGTCCTCATGGAGTATCCAGACTCTCCACAGATTATTCCACCAGTATCACAAGACTTTTGCACCTTTGAATTTCTCAGATTATGAAGCTATCAGTCGTTGTCAACAGGAAGTACCCGAGTACCTTAATTTTGCAAGTGATGTGCTGGACAAATGGTCTCAAATAGAAAAGGTACCATTTCTGACCCTGTAGATTCACTATTTTTAGTGAAACTGCCCCTACCCCTGAAGCCAAGTCCAAAACTGTCACTGGCTTCAGTGGGACCAGAATTTCCTTCCCTATTTGTGTTTTAACATAATGTTACATTGCAGAGAAAGGAGAGACAATTTGCTTTAGCATCAGAGGGACGTGGTGCTTTGTCCCTGTGAGTGATGCAGCAATGTGTGCAGTGCTGGGTTTGTAAATGCCTCAAGTAATTTATGAGCATTGCAAATCAGGTAGGTGTACACACCAGCTTATACGTGCCTTGGAAAAGGGCTCTTTTATACAAAACATGCTTAATATCCCTGACCTAGAATATGTTACACTATGAGATTCCACTGCCTGGAGCATCCCAACTTTGCAAGGAACTACAGGAGTCTCATAAGTAACCAGCATGCTATTTACCCTTGTGTTGTGGATAGGAAAAAAAAGGACCATCAAACCCAGCTCTTTGGTGGATAAATGGGAAAGGAGATGAAATGAAATGGAGCTTTGAAGAGCTGGGCTTCCTGTCCCCAAAAGTGGCCAATGTGCTCTCTGGCCCATGTGATCTGCAAAGAGGAGACAGAGTTTTGGTGATTCTATCCCAAATCCCAGAGCGGTGGCTGCTGAACGTGGCTTGTATGCGAACAGGTGAATTGTATCATTCCTAATGGTCTGTAGACCATTTGACTTTCTGTGCCAAAAGTTGATAAACAATTCATTTAACAATTAAATTTCTTTGTAGCTTCAGCGTTTGACAGTGGAAGGTGCTGACAGGGAATGATGGAATTACCTTCATATGGAATTACCTTCATAATTTTTCTTTCACTTTCTGTGGCTTGTGTCGATTGTGTTAAATCAATTTGATTTACCTTCAACAGACTTAAGTTAAAGCTGCTAGCCTTTACTGCCCCCAAGTTATACTTTCTACTTACATTGTGCCTGGAGCAAAGGTTCTCATAGAAACAGAAGATATTTTGTACTTCAGATCTGCACATCTGTATTCAAGTTCCGGAGTATAGGACTTCTTTTACCTTCTCCTCATTTCTGGATTGAACGATGCTGGTATGCAACAAATCAGGAGAAGCCACAAAGTGATAAGGACTGAGTGAAAAATATCAAATAAATTTTCCATTTTATTGCACTTGCAGGTGTTATCATCATCCCAGGGACAACACAACTGACAGCAGAAGACGTGCTATAGATTGCTGGCTTCCAAAGCTAAGTGCATTATTACGACTGATGTGCTTGCTCCTGCCGCGGACTCAGTTGCATCCAAGTGCCAGTTTCTGAAGACGAAGCTAATTGTATCTAAAAGCAGCAGAGCCAAGTGGCTGAACTTCAGTGATTTGCTCAAGTAAGTGCCTTCTACCTCAGCTCCATCATAGTTATCTCTAGTGGAAAAATTTTTAAATTTCCACTAATTTAAATTTAATTTTAAACTTGTGCACTTGTGTCTCATTAATGAACTAGATAGCTTTGAGGGGGTGGGAAAGAAGGCAATGAAGTCCCTTTTCTATGAAGAAAGGGAATATTTGGGAATAGCCAAATTGTTAATTAAAAAATACGTACAGTTTTTTGATCATACAATCATAGAATGGTTTGGGTTGGAAGGAACCTTAAAGATCATCCGAAATCTAGGTTTGTTATGTATGACTATGAAATAATATGGAAAAATGGATAGGAAAGGTTCTTTTATTGACAGCTGTGGCCTATTTGCCCTCTAAAGCTCGAACAAAAGTATTTTATACAAATTATTCCAATCCGTATTCCTAAAACTTGATGATAATAAGACTAATGTGAATAACTTTTTACTGTGAAAGGCTGAAAAAGCACACTGTAAAATGAACCTAATGTGCTTAGGAATCAACCTGCCTCACTACTGAAAAGCTGCTACTAAAATGTCACCCAGCAGACAGCTCTGCCCTGCAGTGCATGGGACTGTAGGAGGGGTGGAGCAGCAGAGTAGGGAACTGAAGCAGTTCCTCTGCTGCAATCTGCTCAAGGCCCTACGCGTGATTTTACCAGCTGATACTCTGTTCAAAGCATCTGTGTAGCTAAAACCATTCTTTCAAGGTAGAATCCAAGCTCTTTGGTGACTTTAAGAGCTTTATAAGATGTACCATGTGTTCTCACAACCACAGGTGTCTGAACTAGCATTACCTGTGCAGCTCGCTGTACCGTCTCACTTTCCATCTGCTCCTTTGAACAATTGCTCACTTCAGTGTCACTAAATCAGCGGACAGAAGAAGCAGTAACACTGCATTCTCAAACCTCCTAAAGCCACTAAAGCATTGTCAAGTCAATTTGATGAATACTCTTTCATTCTATGGCCCTGTTCCATGGCAGAGGGTAAAATTGATTTGTAAAACCTAAATGTTGTCTGGAACTGCGTCAGTCATGCAGAGGCTGTCGCTGGCAGGCAGGCAGGTAGGCTGTCTGGTTTCCCCGGATGGCTCCCTTGCAAAGTGCTGGCTGTCTGGCTCCAGGGCTGCTCAGCTGTCAGGCTCCCAGTCTTCCCAGAGTGCTGGGCTGCTGTCCTGCCTGGCTCGTTGTCTCGCCAGATCACTGGCTGCCTGCCTACCTAGTAGGCTATTCGCCCAGCCTCCCCAGCTCCCCACGTCCCCGGCTGCCTCAGCTGGCTGCTAAACTGGCCAGGAGGCTGCGGGGCTCTGGACAGAGGGCTCCCGGGCAGCCTGCCTGCCTGCCAGCCAGCACAGGGAGACAGCTGGGCGGCCAGGCAGACTTCCCACACTCAGCCTTGCAGGCATGGGCAATGTTTATGTGCCAAGCCAAACATTTTTCGACATGAGTCCTGGCAGAGAAAAAGGAGTGGTTTTGCTTTCTCATCCTAATATGAGATGAGAAATATTTTCATCCCATGTGCCAGACGACCTAGAGTTTGAGCCTCCCCACGCTTCCCAAACATGGCAAGGATAATTAACTGGTGGGACCACCTATCAAAAGAAATGGTGGGTCCTCCCTCAGCTAATCACACTAAGGCTGGAAGATGTGCTTTCTGGAGGGCACTTTGGTCAAACGCAAGATGCTAGACCTCTTGGTGGTTGTTAAGGGAGGCAAATAAAAGCTAGCTGGTGTTTTTACTCTGAAGAAGGTGGATATGGAGAACAGTTAAACAGCAAGATCAGCAACACTTTAATACAGAACTAGCAGTGCAAGAGTGAGGAGATCTCAATAGTTTCTTAGCCCTCACTATACAATCAATCCTGCATGTGCTGGGCACAAAGGATCCAAGATAAGTACGCTGAATAACACCAGCCACTGTTTCATATAACCTTTCATTTTTATTAAAGTCTGCCCCTGCTGTCCATAACTGTGTGAAGACAAAAAGCCGGGATCCCATGGCAATCTATTTTACCAGTGGTGCCACAGGCTCCCCCAAAATGGTTGAACATTCCTATGGACGCTTTGGTCTGGGTTTTTTTCTCTGTGGAAGGTAAAGTATTCAGATTATTATGCCTTTACAGCTCTGAAATGTAAAGCAAATGGAAGAAATTTTGTATGTGATAAAATTATGATAGATTATGAGGCTCTCACAATACTGTACGTGTCATCTCTTTTGGTCTTCTCAGCTGTACCCAGGAAGCAAGGATCTTGTTCAATGTGGTATATGGCTCCATTTAGAAACTATTTCCCTGTTAATCCAGGCTAAATAACATATTTAAGTAGATGAGTTAGGATACCATTTGATTTTCTGTATCTTTGCCATCAATATAAAGGCTAGGCAAAAAGCATTTATTTGAGCTCTTGAGTTTTGGATCAAATCTACCTTGCCTTTCTAAGAAAAAAAAAAAAAAACCAAACCAACAACCCTCGCATATTTTAATATCCACCTGCAGACTCCCTTATATTGGCCACCTTTGTCTTCAACAGATACTCGATGAATTTGACTCCCTCAGATATCGTGTGGAACATGTCAGACACTGCTTGGGTAAAGGCAGCTATTGGGAGCATTTTTGGTCTGTGGTTCCAGGGCACGTGTGTTTTTGTACATGCCATGCCACAGTTTGATCCAAGAGCAAGCTTAAATGTAAGAACACCATGCTCACAATGAATGGTTACTCATATTTCATGTTGTTTTCCAGGCAGGCCACAAACTAAGCCTCTTAGGTTTATGGGATTAGTTGTTTTAAGATGGCATAACCACAAGGTGATTGTTCTTTGAATAGGAATATAACACAGGAAGGATTTTGCAGCATGACTCTCTTGGGTGCCACATATTACCAGCTGCTTCCGATCAGTAGCAGTTACTGGTATTACTTAAACCTCTCCCCTACTGTATTTCACTATTGAAATGATAAATGGTCTGAATTACATGTAAATTAGTATTTTAGTTACGCTGCTGTGTGGCTGCACTGCCATCAGTCCTGCGCGTCTTTGCAGCTCACCACTTGGCAGCCCCTTTCCAGCCCCACTCCAGCTGGAGCTCTAGGCTTTCTCTCAACCCGAACCCTAACTCTGAGACCAGTGTGTCCTGAAGACATGGGGTTGGACATACGGATGTCAGGGAGAGCAGAATTTGTCCCTTTCTGTTCTCTGATGCTCAGCAATGTCCTCTGTCTATGAAGGTACGCATTCAAGACACTGAAGCACTGTTTGTCTGGAGGGGAACTACTCAACCCAGAAGTGATGGCACAGTGGAAAAAACAAACAGGACTGACAATCTATGACGGCTATGGCCAAACCGAAATTGTATGGTCAGCTTTTTTGTAAAGGGTTACAACTCAGCTATTAGTTAGAGGACTTAGATATCTTATTCCTCTTGATAAATATGGAACTTGGCCATATATATTTATTTGAGTTAAAAGATGGCATTAGAATACATGGCAATTGCCTACAAGAGGGTTTATTGTGTTGCTTAGAATTATGGCTTGGTTGTGATACTGCTTCCAAGACTACTTAAGCTGTAAAATATCTTGAACTTCTTGTCCAAGACTCTCAGTGAAGATCACAAATGTTTTGGCTTGCACAGATGGAAGATTTAGATCTTACACTAGCACAATAGTAGGCATAGTGCAAGAACAAGCGTAGCCTCAGGAATGACAGTGAAAAATGCCTGGGTTGGTTGGTTGTCTTTTCTAACAGAGAATGATACGTGCAAACATGAAAGGAATGAAAATTAAGCCAGACTCCTTGGGAAAGCCAGCTCCCCACTACGATGTTCAGGTATGGTGATCTCCTTTTCTGTTTGCTGTTGATTTCATGGGAAGTAAAACACAAGAGAGTACCACATACCGTACGCGTTTCGGTACCATACAGTGGTATTCAGGGCTGGCTGACTTTTTTGTTTGAGCTGTTGGCTGCTGGTTAGTTTTAGAACATGGCTCTCTTAAAATGGGAAGTTATCATCACCCATTTGCCTTACCTATTGCAGATTATAGATGAAGATGGCAGTGTTCCGCCTCCTGGGAAAGAAGGAGACATTGCTATCAAAATGGATGCCCAGTGGCCATTTTCTATTTTCACTCGATACCTGGTAAGCGAAAAGTGGATTTCTGGAGAGCCAGTTCAGGCCTGCAGCATGCTATGTATTTATACCAACAGAAGCAGGTGCAACACCAAAGAGCTGTGGCTCTTCTTGACCTGACTTGACAGTGTTCTGACTTAGAAAACTTCCATTCTCTCCTACTCTTCTGCAGACCTGCTGTGTGATCTTCAGTTCTCTGTCTGCCCTTCTGATCTGATTTCCCTTCTGGAAAAAGCAAGCACAAGCTCTTACATTCTTGAAACAGAAAACAAGCCATGAAAGATGCTATGGGTAGTGTCCAAAGAGGCAAAACTCATCTCCTAGCTTAAGACTTCTCAATGTTTAGAATATTTAATTGTTGCTTGTTCAACAGGATGATCCAGTGAAAACTGTTTCCACAATCCATGGGAGTTTCTCTATCACTGGAGACAGAGGGAGCACAGATGAAGATGGATACGTATGGTTTATGGGGAGATCTGATGATGTCATGATCTCTTCCGGGTTTGTAGATTTCAACTGAAATGCCAAGAAACGTCTGAAAAATAACCATATACCTTTCACTTACTAAGCATTTCATTTCTTTCTCCAAGGTACTGTATTGGACCATTTGACGTAGAGAGTGCCCTGATACAGCACCCAGCTGTCGTTGAGGCAGCTGTTGTCAGCAGCCCAGATCCCATCAGAGGAGAGGTGATTAGGTACAACTAGAAGTAAGTGGTTACCAGGTGAAGAAGCAGTGTCTTCACTCTTTGGGAACAGATATTTAAGCAGCTTATTAATGAGGAATTCATGGTAGTATGTAATGAAGTTCCCAGAAATTACCATAGATCTTGCATGTATCCTAATTAAGCACCTTTCTTGTATCAATCTTGAAAGCCTCAAGATTTAGAAATTAATGTGTTAACAATGAATGTTCAATGAATGTGCAAATTATGAAAAATCAGAAGTAAAAGAACGCGGACATCTTTAAGACTGCCACATAGGCAGCATCTAAATGTCAAACATAGGCTTGACAAATGGATGGTAGCTATTCAGCAGTTCCTTCTGAAGACCTATAGGTCCTGTAGACACACAGATGAGTGAGAGATAGAAGGAAAAAAAAAAAAAAACAAAAACAAAACAAACACAAAACCACAAACTATCCACGAGTCTATCTTTGTCTTTAGTAAAATAAGTAGTCTGTCTTTAATCGTGATCATTGACATCAGCCACCAATAAACATTCACTGTTGGCCTTTGTGTCTGGTCCCAAATGGTTCTTTCCTGTGTGTGACCTAGACATTCCTGGTTTTAATCCACACACAGAAAGCTTTAAAATTTAAAGAAAACACCGATGGAGGTAAGAAAACAGAGTTTTAATAAATGGGTGGAAAGGGAGACAGGACTAGGGAAAAAAATCATCTTAATTTTCCAACTTCTAAACCAATTTTGAGAGAAGAGGAAAATATAAATTAAACACTGTTAGACACTTGAACACATGCTTTTCACTGAAACAAGACAAGTAACAAGTGGTGTTCTTCAAGATGAGTCTTTTCCCATTAGCAACCCACAGGCTTTTATGCTAGAAATGACATACTAAAGCTAGACAGTTGTACAGGAAGCATGCTCAAAACCCTACTGGAAAGCAGGTTATAGCTGCACTGGTTTTGGTTGTTTTAATTAAAAGTTGCTGGGATATCAAAAAAAGCTCCTGTAACAAAGGGACAACAGAAAGACTCACTAACATTACTTTCAATCTGAAACAAAATTAATACTGTAAAACTAAAACTGTACCAAAAATTAACTTCATTCCCCTTATCCAGTATGGTAGAATGGAGAGCTTCTTTCCTAAGTTTCTAAGCAGTATTTAAATTCAAATTTTGAGACCTAAGAAAAAAATAAAAACACAAAAGACTTTATAAAACTCCCCATGGATTAAGTCTTTGGAAAGAGCAGCAAAAGGTTATTTGCAGGAAATTACTCAAAAAGATTCTGTTCAGTGGCTACAGCATTTCGTATAATCTAGTAACTGCTGTAAACACAGATAATGTAAACACACATGTAGTTTTGGCTAAAACCATCTGCAATGTCTGCACTGTACTTTCTACTGTTCCAGAACAGTCAAATCCATTACTCTAAATAATCTCAAAATATTCAAGTATTTTGCCCGTAGCAGTTCTTCCCATTCACTTTCAAGACTTAGCATATCCTTGTAGAGCAATATATATATATATATAAACCTCCATCATACAGGACATGATTGGTTTTAGCTTATTCTGTTGTTCACACAGAAAAACGTATGAGTTCTGCAGTCACATGAGTTGTCAGATCACTTCCTTAAAAACCCTCTGCAAGCAACTGTCTTTTTCAGATCTCTCACTTCTGTCAAAACTTCCTGATAGAGCTAATTCTGCACTGCCTTTTGATTTCTATAGCCATCAGATACAACAGAGGAGAGTCGATATATGTCAGGATGGCCACGTTTACATATGCATGCACACGCCCCTGCTTTTTGTGCTAGGTAAAGGCAATGCAGAACAAAGCTGTAGAAGAATGACAGCAAGCTTCACCAGGAAGGTGATGAACTCTTGAGCACTCTTACATCTGCTGTAATGTCAGCTCCACCTGCAACAGGCATTAAAATTCTTACACGTGTGGATTTTAAAAACAAGATTTCAAAACAAAACCCACTCTCCTGTTTAAAATGCCATTTCAGAACTCTAGGGCAACTTTTTTTAATTGCGATTGTGTTTATCTTTCCCTTCTACCACATTTTCTATACTGTCAGCGCATCACTCCCCTTGGGCTCAGCTTCTGTTTCACCTTGATTCCTGTTCTCTTGTTTCACTTCTTTTGAGCTCTTCTCCTCAGTTTCTGGTTTCACTATCTTCGAGTTCTGGTCTTCTATCAGACTTGATGGGTTTTTTTGTGTGTCGTCTTTGTTGCTCTTCACCACCTCCTGTAGATTGTATTTTCTGAACAGAACATAGTCTCTCACCACACTCAAGCAACAGACGTTTTTTATTATTTCCACCACAATTGTATATTGTGGGTTATTAAGATCGACTTTGTTTTCTGGATTGAGGCTACCCACAATTCCTGTAAAACAAGACGTAGTTTAAAAGATGCTGGAAAAGCTGTTTTAGACATAAGCATACCCTATTGAAAGGGTAAGAGTTAAGAGAAAGAAGGCAACATCCCCCCTTAGTTGTAACCAATTACTCATTTTTGTAATTGCTTAAAGTAGCAGAACTCAGCGGTACTCTCGTAAGACAGTCCTACCACCAGTAGGACTGAAGTAATTGAAAAACTATTACACCAAGAAACAAAATACTCGAGTCAGGTGGAGCTATTTTCTGAGTCATCTACTCAATGGAAATAGTAACACGTTATTTCAGTGTAGCACCCAGAGAGAAAGCCTGACAGCAGTCGCTTCAAAGCACATATAACTGACACTCCAAATTACATTCAACACTGCACTCTTCTGTGCTTGTGGTCTCTTAAGACACCAACAAGGAATATTGATGTCAAGCTTTAAGTCTTAGAGAAGCTTTTGTAATTCAGCATACAGATTTTAAGCAACAAATACATATGCCCATTAAGGCCACTTTTAATAATCTGACCTACATTATGCATGCAGTTGTGGGCTGCTTATATACTTGTTCTTAGTTCTGTGTGAAATCCATACATACCTGCCAATTCCTTAATTACTTCTTCCCTACTCATATGACTGTTATTACGAGCTTTGTAAACAATCTGAAAAGTACCCTTATTAGGGGCCTTAAACCAGGGCTCAAAAAACGTTTCTGTGTATTTTTTCATATCCTCCATAAAAGCCTTGCAAGTTCCAGAAATGGGCAGCATACGCAGAATGACTCTCGTCTTCTTTTTTTTAGTGGCGTGCATGTCCTGTAATATATGGTGCACCAGGTTCTCAGGCTCTACAAGAAAAACAGCTAAGTATGAGAAACAAATTGAAGGCATTTTCTCCCTTCTTTTCCCCTCTAAATAATAAGCTGGGGAAACGCGCGCTTGGCTGCACTGCTGTCAGCCTCAAATCCTTTCCTATAAAGAGCTGGTTCACTATACCAAAACTGGATTATCACAGATTATTTTGGCAAAGCAGATTCCTCTACCTTTAGCGACTCCGCGACAAAATTCAGTGGCAATTCCAAAGGTAAGGGGAAACCCTGTATTTGTTTGGTATACGCGAGTTTCTTGGAAGTCCCGCTCTGCAGCCTGTCACTGACACCGTCAGAGCAGTTTATCCCCACAGCATTACAGAGCCTTGGCTGATGTCCCACCTATGCCCCGCGTTCTGATGAAGA